CCCCCCCCAGAATACAAACCTATATATTTTAAAGAATAACAACACAGATAAGGCAGAAATGTCACGTTATGTAGAAACTAGCTAGGTAGTACACCCTCTTGCACTTCTGGTGAGCATGGCGCGACTTTTTTCCACATAGTGGTATCAAAAGCAAAATTTCATTAATGAAATGTTGTACATGGACTTATGAAAAAATAAATAAAAAATAAATGATAATACATGTACAAAAATTAATTTCTGAGAATAATGTTCAACCATAACAACTGACTTTATTAGTGATCTAGTGTAATCTGTATTACTACCACAGGGCCATTTAATGTGCCGTACAGAAGGTTTCTCACCTCCCAGAAATCAGGCCCCTATGATGTTTACATATAAAAAGGCCCTGTCAATGTATACCTAAAACATTCATTTACATATATTGAGGCCCTGTGAATTGTACAATGTATACATAGTTTAAAATCAAGCAAGGTTTTATAGGCCCTGTAGTGTAGTGTAGTCTTGTTTGACTCTTGGCTTTCATTCTAAGCTTCCATATTTACATACAATGCAAGCATTCAGCAAAGGAGGAGGATCCAATACTTCATACAGTTTACATATACCGCATACACAACCCCACATATAACTTATATCTATATATAACTTATACAGCTCACACACAGGTTACACATACATCACATGTAGTTCACACATACCTCAGTTTACACACATACAGCCTACACGCACACCACTTAGAGTTTACACACACCTCGCACACAGGTTGCACATACCTTACACACATTAACCTCACATGTGTTTATCAAATATTTCAGATAATACCAATAATACTAATTTGAGGTTCTTATATACCGCTTTATCACAACCTCGTTCGTACGTCATCTCAAAGCGGTTCACAAATAATTATCCGTGGTTATAGGGCCTTTGCAACCAGCCAATATCTTTCTCAACTCCCTGGGGAGCAAACAGCCATTGCTGCCATTTCGGCACTCAGAGCTAGCATTCTTCAATTCTAGCACTGCCCAACCACGTACTCATTTACAGCCGAGTAGACTGGAACAAGCAGAGTAAAGTATCTTGCTCAAAGATACAACACAGTGCCGTGTCGTGACTCTATCCCGCAACCCTTTGGTCACGAGCCCAGCGTCCTACCACTAGACTACCGTGCCTCACTAATAACTGATAAATAACATCCTCTTTTCTACAATTATAGTTAGACTTACAGGAATCTTCAGAATTTTGACAGTTTCAGAAGTGTTTTCATTAATGTACTATTTCTTATGAGATTAATTTATGAAATTTTATATCTGCCGACATAAAAGAATTAAAAGAATATTCTATCTTTTCTAAGGGAGATAATGCAATGTCCTTTTCAAAATTTAGCAGGCTCATCAAAATCACACCGATAGAATATTTCATCTTGTTTTTATCTATTGAAACAATTACATATGAATATGAGCTGAGTAGATGTGTCAGTTTTATTTTGTAAAGACCACACCAAAACATTCTCATCTCAGACTCAGTCACCATTACATACATGCATATTTTTCTCAACAAATTATCTGAATCCATTATTAATTTCAATAATTTGCTTGATATTAATTTGGTTTGTATACTGTCTTCAATCAAATTGAAGACAGTATACAAACCAAATTTATATCAAGCAAATACAAATTGATTTAGAAAGAAATAATAGTTGTTTTATTTCACAACAGCAACATTAAATATCCAGCATAACCAATGGCATTTTGATGACCAATACCCCAAAGTCCTTTCATAAATATATATTCCGAGAATATGGCGATTCTGCCGGACAGTTTATCAATATATAACTGAGTTCTCCGGGACTTTGGTAAAGTCTGGTACACAGGTCACGACGAACTCCTCAACTTCCATATAAAACCAGACTACATTTGTTCTCACGCCTATGTTTGGTTTCCCCGAAAATGTTCGAAACTCGGTAACGATGGGAAAGCACTACTTTTTGGGAAGGAAACAATGCATCAGAATGTAAAATTTGCTAGCTTAAGATTTCACAGGGCACTTTCCTTGACTGCTCAAGGCCAGGTTGTCCCCTTGTTAATAGTATATCTAACTTGCTGTTTATATACAAAATCATTTAAACCCTGTGGTCCATTACAATCTGTCCCAGACTTCATTTTGTGAAGAAAACAACATTATCCATTAGATGTCCTGGTGCAAACTAGGTACTTTTACTTTGATGAAAATGTTGACAGAAGCTAACTAACAATAGAAGTCCTATATTGATTTATTTTTAATATACAATCCAATTTTTTTCGTTAAACCAACAAAAATCCAGTGCCCATACAGTAACATGAAGCATTGTAAGATGACTGTAAACAAAACAAAAAAATTGTGGTTCTTAATTTTCACAGAATTGATAAAATGTAAATTTCGTGCAAACAGATTTCAGGTTTAGCGGCCGTTGCACGAAGTGTTATGGTAGGGATGGATAAATGAATTTCCTATTAATTTTGCAGGCTGTATTTTTCACAGCAATATTGCTAAAATTAGAACACCATAAGAAAAACATTCTCTTTTGCAAGGGGTATGCTTTTGTATACTGATCACAGTTAGAAATTTAAGATGTACTTAAAATACTGAGTGGTTGCCTAAGATTTTCACATCAATGTTGTCAATATTTAGAAATCAATAGACTCACAAGTGCAAATTTGTTTATGGCTTCACACTGGAGGTAGGATCTCTACCTTTTCATCCTTTCTGCCCACCACAACACACAATTAAAGCATTTTGGCCAAGTGTCTGTGTTTTCATCCTTCCTCTCCACCACAACACACAAACATAACATTTGCGACATATGTCTCTCCATTTTCACCCTTCCTGCCAACCACAACACACAAACAACATTTCAGACAAATTTTTTTCCATCTTATTTTCATCCATCCCAAATGTACACAAATACAAACACTACAAAGGGGGACAAAATGTTCAGTATTTTCACCCATCCTGCACCATGTGTACAAACAAGCATTTCTTTTGGGACCAAATTTTCATCATTTTCACTCCTCCTGCCCACACAACATACTGACATTCATACAAATGCCCTCATGTCTAAGATCACATCACATGTCTGCCCTCCACTCACAGTATGCCCTTCCACAGTAAGCTACACAGTGCCTACATGTGTGCATCACACACAGACTACACCGATCAAGTCCTCTTAGAGGTCACCAGCTTATACATAATCATAGTCTAATTGGCAGAAACAGTACTAGTACATTCCTCTTGGAGGCAATAATTCATAAGTTAGTGTAAGAGAATGAATGGAATCACTTATATCAGTAATGTTCACAAGTCTATCGTAGAGTCAGGTATGCTGGGTTACTATGACTCGGGGACACCTTCCTTCTGACACAGCCTGTGATAGGCTTGTACCAGTCTTTATAGACAGCAGGCAACTAAAGCACATGTGTCTCAAGTCTGTCACCTCTTAATAGCAAGAAAAAAAATGTTTTTCATTATTTATTTTGAAAAACACTACATTTTATATTTAAAATTCTTGCCTTTATTATTTAGCATTCAGACTTCACGTATGCCAAAGCACGGAAGGGATTCCATCAGCCAATATAGGCTAGTAAAATACAGAATGTCTCGGCCCTTAGGCTAGCACACGAGAAGTGTACCAGTCCATACAGACTGGCACAGAAAAATATTGACCAGCCGAGAGACAGGCTAGCACAGTAGGGAATATAAACCAGTCCTTAGTGGCTAGCACAGTAGGGAATGTACCACTTCTCCATCGCTGATCGTCGCTTGATGAGCGCCACATGTGGAGGGATCTGGGGTCTAGGTCACATGGCCAAGGGCACTGCATCATAAAGTCTGACCTTAACAGTGAACTGTGACCCTTCTCAAAAGTGGGTGTGTCCTCAGCTAGACCCCTCAGTCTTTTGCCCCTATCTGCCAATCATGACAGCACAATAGTCTGGCTGCTGACGTAGATAACCACGCCGACAAAATCTCCCCTCCATATCACAGATATATATATATATAATCCTTCCATCCTCTGACACGAGAACCAATAGTTGCATTGGTTGTTTATATATAGTAGAATAGCAGCAGGGTGATAGAAGCTAACCGCTATGGCAACGTTCTGGCAACACAACACTGTATATATACGTATTAATTATGTGCCGTGGAGAAGAAGAACTGCGGGTACTGACTGTTGATTGGTGTTTTAGGAGAAGCACAGAAGTACATTAAGTCTAGGTCCTCGGACTGGGATTGATTAAGTGTTGGCTCCGACGCACTCCTACGCAGCTTACGTAGTGATAACACAATAGACTCCATTACAGACAGTATCTGGGGGAGACAAGGCAAAAACAATTTATAGCACAACAAAATATTCATTTTCAATGGCTAACTTGTAGTTATGTCAACATTATCAAAATTTTATGTATTTTCAATAATTAAGTCACAGTAGTGTCAACAATAGCAAAATTGAGTGAACTGTCAATTGTTGACTAACAGTATGTCAACCTTATCACAACACCATGTGTTCTAATTGTGTTTCAGTTATGTCAACATTAACAAAAACAATGTTCTGTCAACAACTAACTTGTAGTTATGTCAACTTATCAATACAACATACAGTCAACAACGTGTAGTTATGTCAACTTATCAATACAATGTACAGTCAACAACGTGTAATTATGTCAACTTATCAATACAACATACAGTCAATAACTTGTAGTTATGTCAACTTATCAATACAATGTACAGTAAACAACGTGTAGTTATGTCAACTTATCAATACAATGTACAGTCAACAACTTGTAGTTATGTCAACTTATCAATACAATGTACAGTCAACAACGTGTAGTTATGTCAACTTATCAATACAATGTACAGTCAACGTCTTGTAGTTATGTCAACTTATCTATACAACGTACAGTCAACAACTTGTAGTTACGTCAACTTATCAAAATACAATGTTATTATAATTTCTATAACTGAATCGGAGTTACAGCTATGTGAACATTAACATAAATCAATGACGTGTCAATGGTTTACTTGCAGTAATGTCAACATTATGTAATACAATGTAACCTCAATAACTAACTAATACTAACATCACCATTATCATGATTTAATTTCGTCAATAAATTATGTAAACATTACCACAACATCATGTAACTTCAAGAACTGTGTTACATTTATACAGTTGTGGGATCGCACAACGTTACACGATGTGCGGTGTGCGCGCGATGTGTGCACGGTGTGTGAACGGTTGGTGCACGATGGGCGAACGATAAAAAGCTGAACGATCATTGCTGGCGCCCATATGTGCGCACGATGGACGGACGTTGTGCGATCACAATCGTGGTTGGTGTAAATTGAGGAATGCCTTAACAATTTATACGGTTTCGTGTTTAAACATATAAAATTGATTTTTACGTATGTTTCTATATTCTAGCAACATCTATAAACTTATCTTTCTGTCTATACATTCTTATATTTAGAAATTCTGTTTTCTGTGTTTTTAAATAACTATAATCGACACATGTAAAATTACAACATAATCCCGTATACAGGTAAACATAACCACTTTGTACATGTACCTGGACCATAAGTTTCTCCCCGCCTGGGGCACTTACGTAACTCGTCGGGTAAGGCCGGGGTGTGAAAATCCAGGTGAAGGGGAGGAATAGGCAAACGAATGCAAATAACAAATACTGTTCATTACGGTCAAACGGTATCGCCTATCAGCTCTGTGTGTCAGGCACTGGTCAGGTAATACTCCGGACACTCATAAAATTGTTATTTGGCTGTTCTGTTACCTTGGGGCCAAACCCATTCTTGACAGCCTAACGGTCGCTATAATACTGTGTAACAAGCTTTGTAAAATTGTATAATCTTGATTATTGTGATGAGAAATTACAGATATATGCACCGTGTACATTATCCCATACGATCCTTCCGTATTTTTGTCGTTCCCTAATTTGATCTACAAATGATACCAAATCGCACAGTTGTGCGCACCATGTGTGGACGATGTGCGGACGGTGTGTGAACGATGTATGCACGGTGTGCGCACGCTATTTTTGGTGCGTTGTGCGGTCCCACAACTGTATCAACATTATCATAATACAATGTACAGTCATGGTTGACTTAAAGTCGTCATATGGCAAATACAACAATACAAGGTATAGTACTGTCCATAGCCAACTTATTTTAATACAAAATGTAATTTCAAATGTGAACATCATCACCATGAGGAAACTTACTTGAAAAACTGGCAAATAATAAATTTATAAACCTTACATCCGCAATGACTTTTATTAAATTTTCAACTCTAGAATGATTATGTCATGTGTTCCCTGATATACAATAGATCGGCCAGTAGTACCTGTGGGAAGAGAGGTCTCTGCTCTCGGTCAAATTTACAGCACTCCTGCATTAACATCCGGTAGCGTTTGGGGGTATCTGACCGTGTCTTGGAGATGTCTGGCTTCAGGTAGCCTTTACCCACCATAAACAGGATCTGTACGCAGAACACAAAGCCACATTTCAGTCTATATACATTTCTCTGTCTAGTATCAGTGACCATAAACAGGATCTGTACGCAGAACACAGAGCCACATTTCAGTCTATATACATTTCTCTGTCTAGTATCGGTGATGTGACAAGACACCTTCAAGGATTAGGAAAACATAAAAAAAAAACACGATCACATGATAAGTGTAATTACGAAACAAAGTTATAGTTCTTATGCAAGTACAAAAGAAACATCAAAATCAAAACAGCAAAGCTAAATGTTTGACTTAGAGGGTTTAGCACACTATCAACAGCTAAATATAAGGTCATTTAAGGATGTGCATCCATCTGTGTAATGTATGCGTGTGTGCTAGATGCATTATGTTGAACTTGTCTGCTTGTAATAGCTGGGATCTGATGCCAACTTTAGAGTGCTACCTCACTGAAATACCATACTGAAGTTACTCGACACAGTAATCCTCCCAGTCACATTATACTGACAATAGATTAACAAGCTGTTGCCCTTAACCTAAAAAGCTCAATTGTTTATTAAGGAATTACAGCAAATATTTTTATGGTCTTTGGTATATCCCACAACAGTACAGGAGATTATTTAAGCATTGAACCGTTTTTGTATGGTATTTATGATCTATTTGAATGACACAGCTTTGCAAGCAAACAACATTTGCTAGCGCATTAGGATTTGTTTGCTTGCAACTCGGAGAATTACTTTAGGCCATAATTCTTCTGAGAATTACGATATGCCACAACTCGGAGAATTACTTTAGGCCATAATTCTTCTGAGAATTACGATATGCCACAACTCGGAGAATTACTTTAGGCCACAATTCTTCTTAGGACTATGTTACACCATAATTCTGAAAACACTTGCAATATACTTCTTAAAAGAGAATGCCACTGTAAATCTTACGGAAGAATTTATCATTCTAAATTCTGGAAATCAATTCTAGTATAACATAATTCTTTGCAGAATGAGAACATGACTGTAGTTTCTTCAGACCAATATATTTGTCCTCGACTGCGGCTGTCGATCAGAGATACCCACCTGGTCCTTGTTATTGATATTTGAGTAGGGTAGCTGGCCTGTCATCAGTTCATAGAGGACGATGCCATATGCGTAGACGTCCGACTGGTTTGTGTAGGGGTTGGCCTCTTTCATGCGTATTACCTCCGGGGCCTGAAATTATGTTGTGCCTCATCAAATTCATTTTTCATTCAAACATTACAACAACCTCAATTATCACAGACCAGATATACATGACCTTCATTTTTTAATCTCCTTTTTTGTTTCACTATTTTTTTCGATGAATCAACATCCCTGCTCTATATAATCTATATGCAGAAATTACCTAATCTTAATCTCTTTTTTTAAACATACTTTTTACAGCCTCAAAAACAATAAATACAGGTGGCCACTACATGTATACTTACCATCCATAGTATTGAACCGGTGGGCTGTTGAAATTGGTGAGAACCGCTCCACCGGGTTTTCACAGTGGCGAGACCAAAGTCACCTATCTTTACTGTCAAATTATCTGTTAAAAATATATCTAACAGATGGTTAAGGCAAACAGTCAACCATTATGTCAACATTCCCTGGGTTTTTAAAATAAAAACTCTTACCAAATCAACTTGAAAGAAAGAAAAGTAATACAGCTAGTCAACATTACCAGAACCGTTCAACCATTTAAGCTAAACTAAGTCTAGTAAGTCATCTTTTAGTGTCCTTCCTTCCCCCCCCCATTGTGCTCAATGTGACCAGACATGGACTGAATTTGCTTATATTGCAGCATTAATCATGATCCAAAAATATGAATTGTTAACAGAAATCTACAGGATCTGGACTTAGATGTTATGCTACTCATGTTGACGGTTGTGTCAATCACTAAGCAGGATAATTATAATAATTTATGCTTGATTTAAATGATTAACATAAATTACTAAATGGCTACTGTATCTACAAACCTCATGAGACTGAATCAATGGGGTTTTTAAAGGAAACAAATCTAACAAAATCTGAAGTTGAAAAGGATACTGTTGGTCTTCAAATCTCTATGGATAATTGACTTTGCATGTAGATAACTGAAAATAAATGAAATTCGTACATTATTGAAGTTAGTACAAATAGGAAATCATCACCATAGCCATAAAACATCACATGATATTCTAAATTACTTATTTTTGCTACTTGATTAGTTAAATGCGACTGACCCAGGTAAGCACTGAACAAAGAGTTATTTCCCTTGGTCGGCATCACATTGCTATACTCACTCCATGCCTTGTGCTGTCTGTCGAGAGATTTCCATTAGTGTTACCATTTCAAAGCGATTTTCTGTAATGTGTAAATGTTTGTAGAGACTTGAACCTTCACACCACTGGGTGATGATAGCCAGCTGGGGCCGTGATGTCCAGCCGGAGAATAGTAGTATATTCATATGACTTGTTTTCCTGAAAACATATTAACAAGATTCAATTAATGCTTTGTAAACAACAAATCTCATAAATCCCTTGTGCTTTCAGATTTTAATATTCAGTTTTTCTCAGTTGAAATGTAGAAGAAATCATACAAAAGACAAATTTTTGAAGACTCAAAAAGAATTAGGTATTCTGACTAAATTAATATTGTAAAACATACATTATTCAAGATACCAGAAAATTCCTGGGGATTTATATAAAGGAAGATATAAGAAATTTGAAAAAATTATACTGTATTATATATCTCTTGAAAAGTTATTTTAAATAACCTTGTATTTTGATAGATAATGTAAAATCTTATTTGCTTCAATCCAGCCAAATTTTGGAAACACACTTTTCCTATAAGTAGTTTTCCACAGGGCTTCGATTAATTATAGCTGTTATAGAAGTATCTATCAAAACTGAAATTGTATACTTAGTTAACTAACCTCACAGTAGCAAAAATGTCATGAAACTTTTCATAATTAAATGCAAGAACCACTTTTTGAACAAAGTATCACTGATTTTCTGTACTATTTAACACATCATACACAGTTCAGCAGTCATGATTTACAACACATTTTGTGTGAATATGTAATTAATGTACAAACTCGTACAAATTCAAGATTTTCAAATTTTTCTATATGATAAGCAAGAATTATTGAAAAGGAGTGTACTTGACAAGTGGAGTTGTCAGAAAATCACGTCCTGTTAACAGTGCATACAGGTTTCATTTGACTATGATCAGACTGTCAGTTATAGATTGTAGACACATGCCTTAAAACAGCCACTTCATTTTTGAAAGCCTTAAGTTGTTGAGGTGTTGGATCTGTGACGTTGAGCCGTTTAATGGCCACGTGGCCATGGTAGTATCCCCTATATACTGTTCCGAAGGACCCTGACCCTATCCGTGGTCCCATCTGGATGTCCTCTGCGGGGATCTCCCAGTCCTCATTGGAGTCTCGCCTGTGGCGCTGTACACAGAAAAGAGGTTTCTTTTTGTGAATATTCTTTCAACAAGATAAAGTGATAAAGTTTCATAATACCCCCTGCCTCTACCGGTCCAGATTTCATATTTAGTAACAGTGACCTGAGCTTTTAGCAATCACCCCATACTTAATCTTATCGCAGGTACTCTAAGGTAAATATACCCCATCAGAAACAATAAATAACTTCTGAAAATTCATCTGTTCCTTTCAATTGAAAAATTTGATCTTTGAACACAAACAAATTGACCTTTAACAAGAACAAACTGAACTCTGAACATGAACAAATTGAATCTTGAAAATGAACAAATTGAACTCTGAACATGAACAATTTGAACGTTGAACAAACTGAAATAGATGCTGCTAATGCTCAGTAATAAGCCCATCCCCTTCGACAAGCTTTACAGGTGATTGTTATATCCAAAACACTTCCGGTATATCCAACCAAGAAAAAAAAATCACAGCTAAAATATGACAACCAGACTATCTTGCTACTGATTTTAGAACAGAAATCGAGTGTTATGTAAACCTACCCTGATCCTGCGGTCCACATCTGTAGAGCTGGACTTTTGGTGATGGACACCGGAGTTTGTTGGAGAGTCCGGGGTACTATTTGGAGGACTGTGAGCGGAATGGTTCACACGGATAATGGGTTCTGTGTATAGATACAAACAGTCTGTTACCATCAAAATAATTAGATCAACTGGCAAAATTGTCATATCTAGATCATAATGGTTGTGATTTATGATTTACACATACACCCATTCAAGTATTTTCATTTTAAAACATAATCAAGGTATTCCCTATCGTAGACAGGCATATGAAAAAGTCCACAGATATGGATGAGTCACTTGAACCTGTTGGAACCATGTTGATTTTTTTCAGACTAGGGCCAAAATCTAACTAGAGTAGGCAATTTTTAACCTGTGACTCTCCAAGATGGCCATTGGGGACCATGTTGAATTACATATTTAGTTCCAACTATACCGGAAAGGGTAATTGATAACTATATGTATCTGCAGAAAGTTTCATCAAAATCAAGGCATTCCTTCAAGAGTTATTGAATGGAAATCATTCGTGAGAATGGCACCATCAGGTGCAATCCCCATGTACACGTCCCCTCAGCGGCAACTGTCGCCAGCGCAGGGTTTCAGTGTAGTGTACTGTACATGTCACCTTTACTTCACAGACAACACAAGAATTTGGTCAGAGTCATACGAGGTTTAAATCAGACGGAAGTGGCGAATTTGGGAAATAGTATAATTATCTAGTGACTTGGGGCATAGACATATCTTAATATTTTCAAACATTATGGTAATTTTGCAACTTGTTTCACACAAGAAACTCCAGTAGAGCAATGGTTACTTTTTGACCACTAACTTGATAATTATATTGTTTTGTAGAATGTTTTTAAGGGTTTTCAAGTTGTCAATCAGAAAGTATAAACCTTGATAATTTTGCCACCTCTTTCATAGGTAACATAAAAGTCATAAAAGAGAAAACTTCAGAATATCAAATGCCACTGCCTTTCTAACATGTTAAGTAAATTTGAAAGTTCTAATCTAAAAGTGGTTCAAACATGAAACCTAAGAATGCCCACTTTGATCATTATCAAATTCAGGATACCTGAAGTCAAATAAAGTCATACAGAACTGCTATTAACCTATTAACAAAGACCAGGGCTGTTTTCGTTAAAACAGTTAAACTGGTCGGACCACAGTTATTCGGATCTAGTAATCTTATGCTTTCAGGCAAGCCTTGACAAAGCCTTGCAAGGCCTGCATAAACATTTGCAGGTCCATCAGGATTTATACCCAAAAATGTTACATTTAAAAACGGACAAACCAGTTGTTCCGCATAAACGAACCGGCCCAAGGGGTTGATATTTTCTATCCAAGATGATGTTGGGATGGATGGAGCGACATACTTAACACCAAATCCATAAGGGTGCCATGGCATGAAAATATAACAAACAGATGTAAAAAAAAATATGTTTGGAGTGCTTACCTGTTGCTGCGACTATCGCTGGATTTACATATCTATCGAAGCCCTACAACACAACAGCGGTTCACCATCAGTGCAAATAGTTTATTGGTCGACATTGTATCACTTCACACGATATTATTTTTGAAATTCATTTCACAGTTAATCATTACAAACTGCTAAAGGTTATACAACTACGTAAGATTAATGATATTAAAGAAGCACCGATACAAAGTCAATGTTAGTGGTTAGATATTAATTATACCACTACTACTGTAGTTATATAAAATCTACGTATTCATACACAATCGTATATAGTACCATGTTGCTTTCTTAATTAAGGCAGTACATGTATATCACAGTTATATAAATACTGAACATGGCAACATTCTCCCAAGCCATACAACATGCTATGCTATTTTTGAAAAAATAATTAAAAAATAATTCTCATTTTTTATTATCATTCTGAATTCTCAAATCTATATTAACATTTTTTTTTCATTTTTCTAAAATTGCTAATATTTTATTTGAAATGATCTTTTTTTAAAACAGAAATGTTTTTAAATATTTGGGGTTTGTCTTTGAGTATACTGTTACAGACATGTATACCTGCTTATATTCTGTAATACAGATCCATAGGCACTTGAACTTGTCATTATTAAATGTATTATCTGGATATTTCTTGCGTTCAATTCTTAAACAATTTGATGTCTATCCATTTTCTATCATAAATAACTAAAAAAGTGAAGTTTAGAAAGTTTTAAATAAAACTATTGAAATTATATTCACCACTTCAAACAAATAATGTATGTAATTTTTCTTGTTTCTATCACGGAAAGTGATGTCTCCGTCGTATTAGGATGAAGATTTACCTGTATTTTATTTGATGACGCAATACTTTGTGGGTCAAACACTTCTCCAAACTGGAATCGCCAAACAACAGAAATAAATGTGGAATCACATGTATGCATGCTTTGTCTGATGAAATACAACAGTCGAGACTCGGGGGGGGGGGGGGGGGGGGGGGGGGATGGGTAGTACAATACAAGGATCGACAAATATATGCACCACTTTACTATGGAATCTTTTGTAAAGCTGAATGACACGTTAAATACATCCAATTGTTAATTAACGACACAAAAAAGGATTTATATCAAAAGATTATCTATGTCTTAAATTTCTGTCAGCATAAATGACCTTAAAATCTCTGCGAGGTGCTGGGAAACAGGCTCCAAATAACCTACATACAATGTGAACAATTTTTTTCTTTCTTACAGGAAAACACATTAAATATTGAATATACATGTATTTACTAATGTATTTTTTTATCCGAGCTTATCAATGTTTGATCAGATTATCCCTAATACCATAAAATATTGTTTTTACTAAAATAGTCAAATTGATACATCTGACAAATTCTTATAATCTGTTATATATACAACATCTTCCAAAACGTAACATTTGCTCACAAATTAATAACACATTATGTGCTTAATCAGAAACATGACAAGACTAAAATTAACACAGCAGGACCATTAACAACATAGACCCATCTTAATATTAAAATGAACACAAATATTTGTTATCCCCTTTCTTATCGTTTCTTCATATAACAAGATTGTGTTACAATACATCTACATACTCAATACATGACAGCATGCAGCACGACTACAAAGCATTCACATATTCACAAGAATCCGTATAGCACAAGACTACAAATTAGTCAATACAATTTCTAATCAAAATTCACTATCTTGTTAATACACACCATATAAATGCAATACCTGCATTAAAGGTCAAATATGGTTCTTTTAAAAACATGCTAATTTTTCTGTCTCGATAAATAGATAGCTCAATGGTGATGATTAATGACAGAAATATCCAGCATTTAAGACATATTTTTTTATCAAAAAGTAAGTATGTCACGTTAAATTTCCAACTCGTATAAAATGTAGACTTTCCATAATGAAAAGCTCAAGACAATGCCACTAAATAATTTTTTAAATATATTTAAATGCACTGCAAAATAGCTGTTGACAAGATTAATCAAATCAAATCTTCAGTTTTTATTCTAAATTCAAAGAAAAGCACATTTGTATTAACTTTCAACTGTCACTGTTCAAACTTTTGCCCTGTAAAATATTTGCCCTTTGCCGAAAAAATGTATGTTTGCCCAGTGTTAATTTGGCCTTCACATGTAATAACTATATATAACGCGTACTTTGTGAGGGCAAAGAAGAGGAATTAAACTGTGGAGAAAAATTCCCGGTATACAGTATAATAGGATAATTGTTTACTGAATTGTTTCTCTGTAATGTACAAATAAAAGCTTTGGTTCAAAATTTACTTCAACCTACACTTCAACTTCATAATGAAGCTTACCATTTTCTAAAGTTTGTATAAAACAGAGAGGCCCTGGGGTCTTAATAGTCATCAGACCACTTGGAGTTTTATTATCAGTTTAACCCTTTCATTTGTTTGTAACTTTAATGAACTCTACCACGCATTGATCTGGATAAGTCCATTATGGTTTACAGTGGTGAAAGGGTTAAAACCTATTGATACCGTACATGCTTTTCAAAAGAGACATGAGTGTATTCATTTCTTATGGACCAACTATTTTATACCTATTTGTTTCTTCACTATTGTTTGTTATGGAAGACCACATGGACGAGGTCAGACCCCTGAGCTGATCCTGGTAGCAGGAGAATATTACTTTTGAAATAAATTGATTTCCAAGAATGCAACATAGCAAAAATGGTTGAAATCACTGGTCTTTTGAACCAGGTGAGCTAAAGAAACCTCAGCAAAAAAAATTATAAGGCTGAATGATAACTGAAATAATTAAACTGCCATCAATAAAACACTGATGAACAATCTGTTTAATGTTATAACAGCTATATCGGACATAATATACATAATACAGGCTTCGTGCAACCGGTTAGTAAAGTGCATGCAGCTTAATGTGATGCGAGCGCCCTGCCCCCTTGTGGATTACCTGTTCCCTACAGACCCGCCCAAGGTTATATACTGTAAATATCATCTGACATTACCCAAGGTTATATACTGTAAATAACATCTGACACCACCTTATTTGTCTTACTACACATCAGCAAAGATACTATATCACATCCTCCAATAATGTACAGTACTCACTACAAAACTTTAAAATGTTTGAGGTGGTCATATTACTGAACAAAATATTTAGATTCTAATGAATATTATTACAAAATGTATATCCAATTAAATTGATTTGAAAAGGAGAATTTTATAAATTTGGAATCATTGATTAAAGCGAAGAAATTCAAATACCTAATTTAATGTAAAATTTACTTTAAAGTTTACTGTTTTAACAAAGAAAGGGCAAGCTTGATGTTTAGTTCCAATAGTGGAGCAACAGGCATTACATTTGTAGTGAGAATTATCATTGGTCAAATATCTACTTCTGGCCAAATTAATTTTACCATTGAAGATCTCTTATTATAGTCTATAAAATTGTATCGGTATAAAACAAGATTTTGTAATCATCCAAAGTGTGATGAAATGAATTCTAAAACACCACTTTATTTTTCATCACAACCAAAATATTGAGGGCTGATATAGGTTAGATATTGGACACTATCAAAATTATCTTTTAAAACTTTATTTTCTTTACAGATAAGAAAGGTGAAAACAATTTCAAGTGTTCCCCCCCCCCCCCCCCCCCCCATTAATTTGGGATGGGGGCTTTTTTGTCTCATTTTAGGGGGAAAATACACCAACTGGGAAGGAAATGTTCAGAAGTAAACAGCATTTCTTTTGGAATTAGGCATAAATTTAAAATAAGTTCAATTGGGAATGGGGCCCATAATTGACCCTAAAAAGTCAACAGAAAAAAACACTGATCATGATTTCTAATATTAATCAATTTGTTTCAGAATTAACATAACACATTGTATTATGACATCCCCCTGCCTCCGACCCACTAAACAGATCAGCAACTCTCAAACGACCCCACACAACAAAAGGAGTTTAAACATTTGAATCTCAAAGGTGGTTGGGGTCATAATGATCACAGCATATCAAAGTTATGAGTTTGATGTGTATGGTAACTTTGTGATATATATCATAGGTCCCGTCAGAGAGTACCTACCTCAAAATCACAGCTGGACGTTATAACTAGGGCAGACACATTAGGTACCGAGGAAGATTTTTCAGATGAAAAGGATCGGGACGCCGAAACTTTGCGGGGATCAGCCATGGACTGAGAGAATCTACACGTACGCAAACAAAATAGAAATACAATAAAAATACATAGCTAACATATACATCTACGGAAGGGGATACAACATATAAACATACGTAGAAAATTAAAAAAAATAAAACAGTTAGTGCAAAGCCACCCAAATAGGCATCTTACCAGTCGGTTCTGATGTCCCTATCAATAGGATTCGCATCAACTCTATCAAAATTTGCTGCCATCTGACTCATGATCACAAATCATACTAAATCAGCTTTATGTTTTATTATTTAATGCCAAAAAATCAGATTCCTTCTGTTAATTTTATATAGCTATAGGTAAGAAAATAATTGACAATCAGTGATTTCGCACCACTCATTGATTTTCTAACCAGTATTGAGGTTTTTTTGAAAATGTATAAGACTCGGCCTAGATTTGTCAAATCCTATTGGAGGGGTGTTCAGTACAGACTGGCGGGTCAGGGCCACTACTAAATACTGTTAGACACCACAACAGCTGTACAGTGCAGTCCTCACGCTGCACTTGGTGACCTCACACCTACCTCAGCCACCGACGCGTCACCAACATTTATAAGACAAACATTGGGAGCGGACGTAGAACGCTCTCTGTGACCAAGAGGTGGAGTTGGCTTGTTACGATGGTTACTCGACATTGCCGGATTTCGGTTTCGAATATAATATGTATTTTCAACATCCACAGTAGGTAAACTGAAAATTTAGAGTATGTTGAAGAAAAAAATCAAATGTTTTTAAGAGGCTAATCCCCACAACAGAGGCTAATCCCCACAACTGATTTACATTGTTAACATTTTGTGGTGCTGGTGATGCAATATCCAGACTTAAAAACAGAATCATGGTGTTCATATTAAAATAACCAGCATTGCAGGAGAAAAACTGAAATGAGATGAAGGTTTTAATACATATATCTCATATGTTGTTGTGTGAAATCAGAACGGTTGTAATAGTAATTGATACAATATAGGATACAGTGAAAGATTACTTTAAACATCAGATAAACACCTGTCTGATTATTTTTACAGACAAATATATGGTATGTGTAACATATATAACCATCTTCACTGGACAATTGACAAATTAGTGCACATTGAGAAAAAGATTACAACATTAAAAGATTTTAGACAAGGGGCTCGTGGGCCTTCACAGTCACCTGAGTAAAATTATAAAGGATACAGATATAAGTAAAAAAAAATTCCAATGAATAAAACCCAAGTGGGACATTTAAATGTCCCCAATGAGGGGCATAGTTTACACCTGAGGGATCAGCCCCTTCTATAGTCCTAATTCTTTTCCAAATCTAAGGATAATTTCAAGATAGTTGGTCAAAATCCACCAGTATGGATCAGAGGAGATGTTATTTACAGGTCTAGCACTCAGTGACCCCTTCTAGCCCCATTCCTCCAACCCCTGGGCAGAAGGGGGGTCTGCCCCTTCTCGAGATTACTCTACGAAAGACGGATGAAAAGTGATTGCAACAGGTCTCATGTGTAACTAATATTTAGATGAACTAAAATATTGAGGAAAATTTTCCATTGATTTTCAGAAACCAGACAACAAACCAAAGGAATTGAACTACACACAGCAGAACAGTCTCAGAATATGGAAAAGTATCTTTATGATGAAATAGTATACAAGATAGTGCAGTTTCCAGACAATTTCATAATAAAGAAAAACTAAAGATGGAGCTACATTGCTCACAGCTCCTAACAATCGTTAGTCAGACAGTTTGAGTAGTTCTTCAAATTGAACATTCTTATTTAACACCAATTACATGGTTAATATTGACAGTTCAATGTTTTGTGCTAAACTTGTCACTTTAAATTTATAGTCAATACTGATAATATTAAGCCAATTGAATTTAAAACACTTTTCCAAGACTATTAAAGGGTTTTCATTAAGAACAGGCCAAAATGACAGGTTCAGATTTCATTTTGTTTATATATCTGTGTAATTTTATGATAGTTGGCCGTTTAGAAATGTCATTTGGTCTATGTTAAAATGGGAGTTAGTGAAAAGCCTGCTATTTCGATGTCGGCCCCTAGTGGTATACATACGGCTTATGTATATCGATGGCATCAATCCAGGGACACAGAAACGAGACTCTGTTGATACATCGCTGGTGGAACTTGATGTTGCACGTCTTACACATTAGACTCTGGAATAGCGACTTCCCGCATCCGTCACAAAACGTTAAAAAGAAATAGGTCTTTCTAACCTACAACACAAATAAAATTGTACATGACTTCTAATCACGGTGAACATCAATTATCATTAAATTAGTTTAAATCTAAAAGTTCAACAGTAACCAATTTTATCATTTTTCTGGTTACAGAATATAGAAAGTGAAATTTCAAACTGCATTCATTTCATTTCAACAAAAAGCTAATTTTGACATTAAGAAGTGTATACACTGCACCCTTCCTGTTACATTGTATCGGCTTATTCTAGGCCACACCCCTTGTTTATAAGATATCGAGTCCCATAGGACTCTATAAAGAATGTTCTAGAGCAAATCAGGACAAATCCATTTATTCATGGCAGAAGAAGGATTTGAAAATTAACCTGTATATATCCCTTATTGAGCCCCTCTTCCATTTTAATCCACAAAACTGAGTTTTCTTTGCCTTATGAAATTCCTGACCAAATTCAGTGAAAATTCACCCATTCGTTCTTGACTAGAAGCATTTTTAACGAAAAGTTTAAATCCTATGGAACAAGTGCCAAGACATTAGATATAATAGCTCACATGGCCCTGTCTGGAAAGGTGAGCTAAAAACTAAACCCACCCTATACCAGGATATTACACCAGACACCTTGTTGATACAATCGTCATACGCTCCATTATAAACACATATTGTTTAGACCAGCCGTACAATGCATATGGTTATCAAGATCACCATTTTAACAGGAAGACAAAAATCTGACTTCCTGCTTAAAAAATGTTTTCTTGTCTGAATTGAGATAAACAATTTTGTGTTTTACCAAACAGGACAGGAAGTAAAGACAGTTACTACTTACAATATTATGCATAAACAAGGAAGGTTGTCCTCGTTTTAATTGAACACGTAACTCTCGGCCTGGGCCAAGGTTAGCCATGTCTATGTCCCAAGATATTGGCATTCTGAAAAGGATAAGGGGAAAACGTGTGAACATTAACCTTTGATACACGACTATGGCCTGCAAATGAGTGAAATTAACACAAATCATCTCTATTCGATTACTGCTATGAGGGACTATATGTATGGTTTGAAACAATAGCATGACAAACAGACAGACAAAAGGATGGACACCTAAATTAATATATAGCCAGGAAAGCAGGGGATAAAAACATACATTTCATCCATGCACATTGGAAGTGCAAGACAATACAATATTGCATAACAAATATTTAACTTTGACTGTTGATCGCAATTGTAAAGTTACAAATTAACAAGGAAAATGCGCTTTTAATATTATGAAAGAAACATGATTTACAAGAACTATATACAAATACTTTATATTTTCTGTTAATTTCATCACAAACAAATTGACATGGCAAAATCTACAAAGATGTATACATGTTGTACATCAGGTATTTGTTTCATACCCTTATAAATATCCATGCTTAATTCAAACATCACAACAAACCATCATAGAACATAAGTCTTAATTTAAAAGTAATATGGTACAAATGACTTACAATCTGACAAAATATCCAATTGGGGTATCCTATCATTTAAGAACATAACAGACATTTTTTATACATGACTTACTTTGTTTTATTGTCATATACTTCATATTTCTCAGCCTCCAAGCCTCGTCTTGACATGGCTTTCTTCAAAGCTTCTTTAAGAATAATTCCTGGTTCAACACGCGCCTTAAAACAAACATTACTTGTTAAATCAATGCCAGTGTTAATTTTCAGAAATAATGTATTTTCGTTTGAGTTTTGTCCTGCATCTTGTAATAGTCTCTATCCTTACTTGTTTTATGCAACAAAACAATCGTGTGCCAATCATATTATCTACAGGTACAAGCTATATTTAGAAAATTAAGATAAAACAAGAATGAAACTACCTAGCTTAAACTCCTATCAATTAACACTTTTGAAGATAGATGCATATATAGAACCATGAGTTATATTATAAACGTCATATTAAACATACAATCACAAGGTAAAAAAGGGCAATAACCCCTGTTAAAGTTACAAAAAGAAAAGGACACTACATTACTTTTATGTCCGTCTGATGATACAGTATAATATTTTTAGTTAAAAGTATCCATGATACTGATTCTAGATATTTATACAGAATCATCACCGTGGTATATATCAATTAGGGCAAGTCATCATCATCACTTATATTCAGTTATAACCAAAGCTTACAGAGGTGACTTGTTCGTCAGGAAGATAGGCCTTGACATGGCCTGCCCGTAGTGCTTTGGGACTGGACTGGGCAGCAAGGCCTGCAGTCTGTAGGTTGTTCCCCTGCGTCGACCCAAGCAGGATAGGAGTAGGGGTCTTGAGGGGGCCTTCCTGCTCCTGGGTGGCATCTGTCGGAGACTCTCGTTCATTGTATAATATCTGTTCATAACATGTCATCAAGTGAGATTCTTTCTCCTGTAATTCATGGATTTTGTTTGCTAATGCTTCATACTCCTAGAAGAAAGACAAATATTCAGAAATGTGTTACACAATATCAAATGTTAAACCCAATCAAAGAACAAAATGTTCTGATCAATTCCTATTGGCTCAAAAAATTCAAAAATAGTCAGTTCTTCATAACAATCCCTCATTTTGAAATTTACTTTATCCTGTATTTTTCTGTTTTTAATTTTAGGCACCATGGCATTATTTCCTCCTAATTTTTATTATTATTTTTTAGATCTTTATTTTTCATTATAATTTAGACCTCTCAATCAAATGTTTTTGGTTAATATTTTGCTCATCAAATCAGTTTTATATCATCACTGTAAATGTTCTGCGATAAAAATAGCAGGTATATTACTTACTTGAATGTACATGGGATCTGGATTCTGATGTTTGCCGAAGGTGGCATTTAGAGCCTCCAAGTTTTCTTTGGTCAGTCGAATCACTTTCTGTATGTTATGAATCTGTATAGAAAACAAAAAGGACACAAAATGAAGTCACCGGTAACGACAGGTGTGAAATTAAGTCATTGAACTGCATCAAACACAGTGCAACCCATTACAGGTGTAGGGTAGTTATGGCGTGGTTTCTCTGATTGATATGACGTCCTTAAATGACCTTAGCTGTACTGTTATAGGACGTTAAACAAAATTAAACCAAACCAAACCTTTGATTGATACTAGTAGTATCTTATGACGGTGCACAGACTTATCCAGACAATATTCAAGAACATATTTTTGTAATTTCAACATCCAAGTTACATTAGCAAAATGGGAAAGCTATATAGAAATTTTCAGTTTTTAATATTCAGGGTATGTACAGTATCGTCATAAAGCACGAAAATTGAAATTACAAAGAATCAGACAAGAGTTTTATAATCCTAATGCTTTTTATGATACATAAACAATACTAACTTTGAAACAGGGATTTAGTTATTATTCCTCGAGTACTAGAATTTATTTTCCTCCTTACTTATCGAGCATCGATGACCTCAATTCAATCACTTTTCATGGTCAAAATCACAATATTGTATGTTGGTTTATGATTAATTGGTGGCGTGTCCATGGCCAGCTACCCAGGCCTATGAGCAAACAACCTTTTAAAGGGCAATTTAATTTAAGGTTGATTTCTTTATAATAATAATATATATATATATTACTTGTTAGAATTAATATTGTTGTCAGAAAAAAATATATATGATGAAACTAATCGCAAGTAACAAGTCAGTTTAATCGTTTCCATTTGAAGGGTTTGTGTAAGTTCAGTAAGAGTTCATATAATTCATTTAATCAATTCATCATTATTAATGTATGTAAAAACATATTTTTATATCAATTTTGTGAATACACACTGTATTCTACTGTAGAATCATTTATTTTCGTGGGGTAAACATCTCGTGGTTTTCATATACTAGCCTGTTTCAAAACATTATATTTCAGTTTTTTTCCTCCCCCCTATCTATATCATACCAAATATGTTTTTGTGTGGATTTTTGTTATCCACGAAATAAACGAAATTTAGTGTCCCACAAAAATTTATGATTTTACAGTATGCAATATTTATTATATTTTTTAAATCCAAATATACCACTATGGATAACTGTATATGATTATAGGGTGGGTATGTTGGCAATGTTCATGTTATGACGGACCACAGGGTTTGTCTCCAGACATTGGGCAAGATCTTAAATCCTGGTACCTCAGCAAGAACATACATTATTATAGGATGGGGATGTAAACCTTTTCTCTATTTTATGACCCAGGCTAGGAGAGCTTATATTTTTGGGGGCTAGCAGGGGCAATCATGGTAGCATAACTTTGTCGGTCTCTCAATACCCAGCCATTGTATACAATTAAATAAAGGGTTGATATTGACTTTTTCCTAGGTATGATAAAAGCATCATTGTGACCTTGAAAGTAGGTCAAGGTCATTTATATGACAATCTATGTAACACTTCCAGGTCCATATACTGTAATGTATTGAACTTTAGAAGATATTAAAAAAAAAATACCTATTCAAACCCATGCTGAAATTTGACCCAGTCAGTGCTCTAAGTTGACCTTTGACCTTAGCACAAATCATGTAACTACAATTAGACTTGAAGTACTGGTCTACTTATTAACATGAAAATTAAAACTGTTCTTGGAACTTTTAAGATTTTCAAAGCTTTTTAGCAATTCAATTATACCCCAAGATAACATTTGACCCCACAAAATATTGACTTTTGATCTAACACAATATATCAGAAAATATGATTGCACTGCTAGTTCACATAACATTACCAAGTATCCTGATAGTTCTTTATAAATAAAATTGTTTGAAAATTTTAACACATACAAAACTTGTATATGACCTGTGATCACCATGCCAGTATGAATAAAGGTCATCTATATGAGAAATCTCTATAGCACAGCCACTCGATCCCAGATACCTACTGTCATAATGATTATACAACACCACATTAACATGTCTTTAATTTAACCAGAAATCTTTTTAAGAAACAAGAAATCCTTCCCATCACCATAAATATAAATATAAGAATCATCAGATTTTTCATTGGTCTTGTTTAGGTTTGATATCTCTCTTCTTTATCTATTAACACTGGCCATTAACACCATGATTTATATGTAAACTGTACTATATATATATGTATATAATTCTCTACACTGTAACCAGTTTGCGAGAATAAAAAACTTGTCATTGTCGGATTGAGTCATGTTCACAGTCAATCCACTATACTGCAGTAGAGTAAAACTTCATACTACTGTGTTGGACATTTCCCCTTTCAATGTGTCAATCCAGTTTTCTGATATATGACAGTCAATTTTGTTCTTCTGACCAAGCTGCTTGAAGCTCAAAATACATGGAAAACAAACTAAGGAACAGGAAGTTAGGAAACTCTTATGAAATTTGAAAAAGATATATAATTCACTTATGAAAAATGGTATTACAAACGTAAACAGCCATTTTTAAGATTGTCTGCCTTGGCCATCTTATCATTTTGATCAGTCTCAAAACTGAACATGCAAAACTAAGGACCAAATGGAACTGCTATGCATAAAAACTCCTGAAAGATCTGTCTAATATTTCCTTGAAAAATGGTGATAAAACTTTTGAAATGAACTGTCAAAATTTATAATGGCCACCTGGTGTTCTTTTCTGATAAGTCTCACAATGAAATGTGCACAACAACAGACCAAGGGGACTCTTCGAATGAAATTTGATATAGAACAATGCAGTTCTTCTCAAGAAACTATGATAACAAAATTGTTTAGGGACAAACGACAGAGCACTGACAAAGGGCAATTTTAACAGATGATGGTGAGGTAAAAGCAATGAACCAATGAATTTGTGTGACAATGTTGCATGATTCCTAAAAAATCACTGAAACTGAAATACATATGTTACTTTTGGTATAATCCCAATTTAATTAAAACAGTCAAAACACTGATACTATTTCCCCAATTTGTAGTCAAATGTCACCAAAACTTCCTAATTTTAAGACAGTGTCCATTCCCAAAATTCCTGACAAAAACCCTAAATTTGACTGACAAATACATAGTATGTCAAGTATAAAGTGTGAGCAACAAGACTACTGTATATACTGCCACAACTCATCAATGTGTAAATAATGGACTTTTATCATTTTATGCGCAACCGGTTGGACACTATATATAAGTAAAGGAAATACAATCAAGACATCTCCAAAAGCTAAAAAGCTTACAACGATGTATTTTACAGCGAAAGATACAATGAGATGGTGGGGAAAAAATTCAACTCTCAATGTGTCGAGATGCAACACCATTGTGAATATCAGATAAACAGCGTTAAGTATATATGATTCAGATTGCTGTAAAAACATTGAGAAATGAAAATACAACTTCATGAACTCAAGACAATAAACATTACAAATCAAAATAGGCAATCAATTATCACAGACTTTGTAACTGTCAACATCATTTTAAGTAGCTATAGGAGACCAATCTTTGATAATATATCACTTTATTTTTCAACAAAGTTGATACGTTTTAAAAAAATATTGATGAATAATTTTTGACAACAATGTAAACAAATTTGATAATTAAAACATAATAAGTTCCTACTATAAAATATGTAACCATTTATTACTGTCTATACAAGTCTACTACACAACAGACTGTATGGCATACATTTCAATTTACTATTATACAACTGCGATGGTAAACATTCTGACAAACAAAATGTAATTTCAGACAACATCCCAAATGCAGAACTAAAGTAGGATTTGGACACACACTGACATGATATAGGTATTACCGTGTGTGTATGTGATGGGGCTGCTATGAGCATGTGCCATGAGTACTGATGACATTTGTTTTGACTGCACGATTCCCTACGAAGACCGGTCCTGACTCACGACTGACTCACATCTACACTGTATCACACATACAACGACATATTATTGTCCAAATCATAGGAACGCCATGAGTCCGGGCAAGGCGACACCGCGACGTTCCGAGCACCTGTTGTGCTAATTAGCTCTCAGATTGTCTCGCTGTCAACCTTGCAGGAATTTTTGTCCAAAGTAAACAATTATTATCTCGACGTCATAATCAAAGTCTGAATCTCAGAATGAGGCATTATGGAAGCGTGATATTCATACCTGATCTTGCAAGTTTGCCGCTTCATTTACGTCGTCTCTGGGCGGTCCTGGAGTGTAATCTTGGATATCACCGTTCATTGTCTCTGGCTTTTGCACGACCGCCATATTGGTTCTTCCAGGCTTTCCTCACGTGACCTACCTACATTATCACTGAAATCTCGCGTTATTTCAAATATGCAGACCTAAATAAAGTGCTGCGTAGATTTTCTGTTAATGTCCGTATGACACATAGACTAATGCTTACAGCATACAATAGCCTTTATCATTCCGCTAATTCTAAAAAAATGTCTGCAAAGTACGTCGTAATCATTGTGTAACACTTAAAAATAGACACGGAGTTAGGTACACGGTGCGCGGCTCACTGTAACAGGCGCTAACACATATATTGTACTGCAGTTATATGCCGTAGTTTTATATAGTACTCTGTCTGTGAACTATGCATTTAGTTTGAGGTGTTTAAAACAAACACCCCAAAATACCATACTTAATCAAAATGTTCTTAAATAGCGTATGTGTTATAGGAAATACGTGAATTAAACGCTCTGAGACGCGTAACGCATCTATAGGTTAAAACAGTGCATATATATGTAACATGTCTCTGCTTGGTTAAAATGTTACATTGTCAAACGAAGCTAAAATGACGATTTTTTTTATATTTCAAATGTGTTTATTTTGTACATGTATTTTCTAGAACGAGTAAGGAATTAAGAGTAGAACCCAAAACAATATGTGTGTGTACGTGCTTATCAGAAGAATGGAATTTTTGGAATGACACAACACTTTTTGATCAGGTGCCAGTATGATTCAGACAAGGCGTAGTACCTATATAGCCAATTTAAAATACGTCATTTGGTCCACTTGAATAAGTCAGCCCATCAGAGAGGTGTAAACGTTTCTGGTTAGACATAAAATCAGGCTTTAGCATAAAAATCTAAAAAAAAAAAAAATCCAACATAGAGAAAATAGCCGGTTTTCGAAATTATATTGATAATGGCAGGGACGTCTATATACTGTCCCTGATAACGGAAATCATATATTTTGATCAAGTTTTAACAGTACTAATATTTAACTTTACAATTATATTGTATTTGCTATGAAAAAATATAAGTAATGACTGTTACGATTACGGAAAATATGTGTTTTGCTAAATAAGCTGCATTGGAATCATTACAATAAAAAATCAAATACCAATAACTTATAAAAAACAAAACCGAGCTAGTCTAGATACCTATTTGCTGCTTTTTACAACGATTTTATTAGAAGTAATTAAAATCTCTGTTGATAATATATGTAGTTCATTTTAGGACTAAGTGAAAAATGGTATCTGTATTTTATTGTGCTGCTTAAAAAACTAGTTTGCCAGAAGGCGTGTATTTTTGCTAGATATACACATTTCTGCAACTTGAGTATATAAATAACGTAATGTTTTAAATGATATAATGACAGTTTAGTTTAAACAGTATTTTTATTCAATATATGGCAGTGACAAAATAATACAAAATCAACAAAGAGGATTCGAAAACAAGTACATAAGTACTTGTATTAATTCGTCTCCTTATTAATAAACCCGGCAGTAGGACGGCACTGTTACAAATATTTTGATAAAAGACAAAGAGAAGAAGAAGAAATCAGGGAGGGGAGGGCGGAAGGGATGCATCAGGAAATGAAAGAAAGTGGTTACGAAGAGTATAACAGAATAACTACATTACTTAATTGAATCTGGTTGGAATGTGATTCATGAAATGGTAACCCTAATGAGCTTTATTCCGTCTTTGCGTATTGCAGAGTTATCTTCTCTTTGGAGCAGGGATTGATTGTTACGTCATTGGTCTTAGTGAGAAAATTACGTCGTTTTCTCAAAAATTGATGACGTTATTCTCACAAACCAGTGACGTAACAATCAATACCTGCTCCCAAGAGAAGATAACTCTGCAATACGCAAAGACGGAATATAAGGATGCATTAAATACATTGGAAATCTCTAAATTCCCTTACGTTGATTCCAATCAAACAGTATACTGATATCCTGTAAAATGCAAGAGTGTTGTAGTCTATATTAATTCCAGTATCAACAAGACTCGTTAAGTCTAAATATCATACTGGCATGTCACAACTGTTGTCGAACAACATAGGTTTCAAAATTAATGTACATTGTTTAAACAAACGCAATAATTACATAAAAATAAAATAAGATAAATAAATCTTGCACTAAAATCGTTTAAAATTATATTGATCTGGCATATCAGGATTTCCATACAGCAGCAGATTTAAATTATTCCCATGAGGAAGATTTCTAAAACATTGTAATCTTAATTGTTGGAAGTTAGGACAAAAGAGGAGAAAGTGTTCAGTAGTTTCAGCAGAACGGTTACAAGAACACGTGGGACTTTCAACTAAGTTACGTAAAAACAAGTGATTATTAAGGGAACTACAGCTCATCTTCAGTCGAGCGTGGTGAATTTGGCCCAATCTATTTTTGCAGTAATAGTAATAGGATGGAACAAGATTATTGTGATGATAGTTGGCATTCACGGACTTCTTAAGGTTAGTGAGTGGTGGGTTATGCTTAACGTCGTCCGGAAGAGCATTCCATAAGTCAAGAGAGGAAGGTAAAAAATAACCTTTATAGAGTTTAGTACGACATCTTATTTGACAGAATTTGTTCGCGTTTCTAGCATCGTGAGAATGAATGTCAGAATGACGAGCGGGGAGTATGTTAGTTAAATAGGAGGGACACTGACCATGAACAATCTTATGAAGTTGGGTTTGATTTTATGTTTTCGTCTTCTTTCAATAAGAGGGTACCAACCAGTTTCTAAATAAATCTCTCATGACTAGTTAATTTAGTGGCACCAGTTACAATCCTGGCTGCCTCGAGTTGAATATTTTCTAACAGTTGGCTTTGGCCTATCGTTATATTGTCCCATATCACGTCACCATATTCTAACAAAGGTCGAATAAAAATAAAATAAATAGTTTGAAGCGTTTTTCTGTCAATAGTAAATTTCAGTTTTCTTAAAAGGAAGCTTTGTTAATTATATACTGAACATGATCAGTCCACCCTCCATTGGACGAAATAAAGACACCAAGGTGTTTGTGGCATGTTACCACTGTTAGTGGGTTGTTGTTCATAGACAAATGGGGATGAAGTGGTTTGTCATTTTTTCTACTTACTGTCATTGGCACTGTCTTACTAGGATTGAAATCGACAAGCCATGTTTTTGACCATTCATGAATTTTGTTTAGATTATCATTCAAGAGATTAGCGCTCAGATCCGGCAAATCCACTATAACGTATAGAGACGTATCGTCAGCAAACAACTTTATAATACAATTAATATCTTCGACGATGTCATTTATTACTTGGCCACGATGCCATACTCGGTCGAAAGCCTTACTTATATCGCAGAAGACCATTCTAATTTCTTTACCATTATCTAAAGCGGAAAATATATCATTAGAAATAGATAAATGTTGATTTATGGTGGAATCACCGGATTTGAAACCCGACTGACAAGATGAAAGTAGGGCTTTGTCAGTTAAATAGTTATAAACATATTTACATATACACCTTTCCATCATTTTACCTATGATAGACAAAAGAGAGATAGGACGGTAATTTCCGAGAACAGATGGATCATCTTTTTTTTTGTGCACGGGAGTAACATTCGCCCTCTTCCGTTGCGACGGGAACTTATAAGTAGTCAGAGAGTGGTTAAATAATGTTTGAAGTGGATAACTAAGAACTTCGGCTGCTTCTTTGATTAGACGAGGGTTTATGAGGTCAGGACCAACAGCTTTTTTGCAGTCAAGCGAATGTATTACGTCAAGACCATCTTGTCGGGATATGACAATGTCAGAAAGAGTATGATTATGGGATTTGTGTAGATCAGGAGGGTTAACATTAGTGTCGTTAATATTAGAATGGGAGCCGAAGAAAGTGTTAAAGGCATTGGCTGTGTCTAAGTCGTCGTGTATAAAGTTACCGTTACAGGAAATAGGAGGAATATGTTTTTTTTTTATTGAGTTAGACATAAGACGATTAACAATTTCCACCATTCTTTGCTACTGGTATTAGCATGATTAAGCTTTGTACATAATTTGTTAAAATAATCACGTTTAGATTTACGAATGGCATTTATACACATGTTACGAGCTTTCCTGAAATTCGACCAGTCGTCAGTATTCTGTGACTGTTTGGCTTTGCGGTGTATATACTTACGTTTACGAATTAATTTTCTAATTGCACTATTCATCCAAGCAGCATCATTCGCTCTTACAAAAATATCTTTATTAGGTATGCACTCATTTGCAATTGTAAGTAAACAACGTGTAAATTGCTCTGTACTTTTGTCTATGTCATTAATGTACAGAGTGCTGTCCCAAACAACGTTAGAAAGTCTGTCACGATATTCGTCGTAGTTGCCTAGGTCGTATAGCCATACTTTACGTTTAAAACTGGATTAACTGGATTAATGGCAGTTTAGGGACCCCTCACGGAAGTGAAGATCTAGAGTTTCAAACCCACACTAGAGTACACATAGAGGTTATCTAATTATTTCCCGTTGAATTTCTGTATTTCACGAGTATATAGCAGAATATCGATGTTTCTCACGAGTGCGTAGCAGTATGGGAGCCGGTTCGGGCCAAAAACGATATACAGTAACGCGTTAAAAAAGTAACGCGTTAGAAGTGACTCTTAACGCGTTAAAAATATTTTAACACATTACTTTTACATTTGAAAAATTAACGCGTTACTTTTTTAACGCGTTATTGTATATCGTTTTTGGTCCGAACCGCCACCCATAAAGCAGGAGTCAAAATATCGGTAAGTTAAGTTTAATTTCTGGTTCAGGACTATCAAAGTCCTCTATACCAGACTCTCAAATAAATAAATTACGTCTGTCAAATACTATCCAGTATACATGTATATTGATATCTACGATTTGATTTTTGCTTTGTAATTGAAAGAAAAGCTCTTGATTTTCCCGGTGATTGTCTAGCTTATTTTTAAAAGAATTAACATTTAATGCTGATACGACATGTTCCTGCAGTTCATACCAAATTGTCACTGTTCTGATTGAAAATAGTTTTTTTAACATATTTATTGATCGTTTGGGGAATATTTTTGTTGCTGTGTCATCTGCCCCTGTGGCAATCAGCGGCATCTTTCCATAGTTTAATAGCATTGAAACATTCATTATCATAAATTTGA